GAGCGCCCGAGCTCCTCGTTTTGGGAGGCGAGAAGGAGGATCCGGCGCTGGGCTGCCCCGTGCGGCGGGAGCTGCGACCCCGCTCCCGGCTCTTCGCCCCTGCATCTCCCCTCCCCGCTCAGGGGCGGCCAAGAGACCCACCGCAGGCGAAACACGGCAAAACCCTTTTTAGCGCTGTTTTCAAACGAGTGTAAGACCTCTAACTCTCTCTTCGCGGTCTGGTATTTCTGGGGTTTTTAATTTATAGCAGCGTCATGCAAGGCTTCAGTGGCATGTGTGTACGTTCCACACCCAGGATGATCGGATGGGTGCCATTGGTAAGAAACTCACTGCTGCTGACAAATTGTCTTGCTGTAATAGCCAGCAAAAAAAACAAAACAAACCAGGGAGTTGTGGAGCATCTCTTATTGCACGTCATTGAGAGCACTTGTCTGTCAATTGACTAGAGCCCAGCTCTGCTCAATTCCGTATCCCTGTTGGAAGCCAGGTATATCCATAGTATGTCCATGGTTTTACTCACCAGTCAGCAGAAGGTGTTACACAGTTCCCTGGGATATGTGGATTTACCCACATGAAAAGCACCAGCAGATACATTAATGACCACAAAGCAGTTCGGGTTCTGGTTTAATGCCTTATCTGAAATATATAAAATGTATGAGGAAGGGTGACTTATTTTGTTCCCCACTGATGTTAAAAGCTAATGGAAAGCATAAAAAAGGTCCTTTAAACTTTGTCACGTCTGTGTGGCTAACCTGAGGGCTGTGGCTGCTTCAGACACCAGGGCACATGCCAAGCCTCCCTACCAAGGTCTACTTAGTGAAGTGATGTCTCCAAAGCAGACTCCAGCACTTAGTGGTGATTCCAGTCCCAGGGCTAAGATTTAATGCTCACCCACCCACATTCCACACACCCCCCCCTGCTTAGTGCAGTGACACTCTCTTTCATCTTGCCTGATAGTGCTCCCAGGTGTCTTACCTCTGTATGCTCCATGATCAAAAGCAGACAGAAAACAGGAGTCAGTATAGTTAGCTGCCTTTTTCTCTGCTTCTCTGCGTATTCTTTGTACTATCATAACTGCTATGCTTCCCTTTTGCAAAGGGACCCAGGGTATTTGCATTTTCTTTGTCCTTACCAAAATCCATCTCTATGTAGTACAAGCCCTGGCAAATAATAAGGGCATTCTGCACGGTCAGAAAAGACTAATATTTCTTAGATGGTGCTGAAAGCAGACATGCTCTATTTCCGTGAAGATCTTACAAAGAGCATCTAGCTCAGCATGACCTTTTTCTCAAAACATCCTCTTATTCTTTGGTCATCTTCAGAGGACCTGGATCAGACTGTGCTGCCCAGTCTCCAGTACCATCAGCACTTACAGCTAACATGGTGAGTTTCATGCACCTCTCCTCTAGGTCTTAGGGTTATGTCTCTGTCCCCTCTGACGTGGGTCAGAGGAAAACAGAATAAGGGAAATGAAAGAAAGTAAAGATGCTAGGGATTTTGCAGACTTGATGCAGAGTTCACTGTACTTAAGCTCTTTGCTGGCCTGGTGCTGGGTGAAGCCTGGGAGGAACAGAAGTGTGGTTAGGAGTTGCCCTTAACAAAATCCTTGAATGTATCAAGAATGGGTTATACCTTATGGCCAGTGACAGTCATGGATTTATGCTTCATCTCCTTCCTGTGGCAGAGAGAAGCACCCTCTGTTGGAGGGAAAGCTGTGTACAGCACTGCCCACTAAACTGTAATCCCAGGAAGGCACTGTCAGCATGGAAGCACACAGCGAGCAAACCTGTGATAACACGGGAGCTCTACTTGAGAGAGTTTTCAGATGGGGACAGCTGCACCCTCAGAAGTTCTCCCCTCTCACTCTTTTTGCCTCGTGACCAGCGAGTGACAGTGGTTGGCACCAGTCCACAGCGAGGCCTACTGCAGCAGTCATGGTGGCAGTTAGTGTGGACACTGTAGACGTACTTCTGTCTGGACTGGACAGAGGACATACATACGTGTTTTGCCCTATCCAAAGACTGGACCCAGGCCTTCACAAGGCAGCTTTCTCTCCTAGGAGCTGAAGAATAGCATACTGGATTCATCAACATCTAGCAGAAATTCCATATTCTTGGCGTCAAGAATGAAAAAATAAGCCATGTTGACAGTCTTTGGTTTGCTTCAAGTCAGTGGACAGGCAAGCATCCAGGATTCTGCTCTGCCTACAACCTCTTAATGTGCTCTGCATTTGCCCAGGACCACCTTTTGAACAAATGTCAGTGGATTTCCTGCACTAGTGCAGAGAATACCTTGTTCATTTTATGGTTCTGCATAGCAATTCCAGCATGGCTTCTCTGCTAGAACAATCAAACAGCAAAAGGTGATAATCAGACGTCTGCTTAGGGGAAATGCATTTGCAGTTGTCTGGGGAGAGCTGCTACTCGAACGGCATGGAGCAAACACAACAGGGCAAATGTAGGTAAGGATTATGAAGAGCATCCCGCAGGTCTAGCTTCTAAAGAGCCCTGCTAGGGGAGACAGCTCACTCAAGAGCTGTGCTCAGCCTGTATGGTGGAGATGGTGGCTTTCCTGCCAAGAACTTTTGTGGATAAATCTCATTATGCAGGTGTGGCAGGAGTCTGTCTTACAGATGTAACTTCTTGGAAAAGAACCAGATTCAGGGAGAGCTGCCTGTGGTGGTCTGTAGTGTGTGGGGACCAGCAAGAGTCCCTCTGAGGGAAGTCTAGGGGCCTCTTGAATGCAGCAGTGAATATACTGCAGAGAGGCTTAGCCGAGCTCTAGGTGTCTCTGGTTGGTCAGAGTGCAGAGTTGCCTCTGGTACTCAGAGTGGCTGCTGTGTGTTCCCAGTCCTCTTTGCAGTCTTCTCAGATGAGGCTGCTCCATGTGCTCAGCACGTGACTTAAGTAAACAGAAGGCAAAGAAAACGACGTGGTATTTTTTCCCTTGTGTACAGTGCATCTTTTGCATTACTTCAGGGTGATGTCTATACGTTTTATGGATGGCGCAGGTGTATGCCTCCAACCCAGGCAATCGTACATTTATTTTAGCCTCCAGGAACGTGTTACGCAGTCGGAAAGAACACAAGTTTATGGCAGATTATATGCCACCTCTGCATCCTCACCCATCCTCGTATTCCTTCCTCAGTTAACTTCCCAAAGAGGAAGTTTCTCTGGCAGCCATGTGCAATGAATTAATCTTGGGGATTTCTAGTGTTTTTAGATCAGAGATAAAGGTACGGTTAGTTCCTGGTGGAAGAAAGAAACAGAAGGCTGGCTGGCCCTTCAGTTTAACATCTAAAGTGCTATAGCTGCAAACAGGAAACCCTCTATTCAAGAAGAAACAGGTCAGTGATTGTTCCCGTCTTTCTGTTGTTTTTAGGGGAACATTTCTGTCTGGTTACCAGGTCAGCACGTCACTCTGAGGCCAGCTGCATGGGGTATTTCTTTGCCATTGACCTCTCCTCAGACAGTGGGGGAGCTGGAATATGCTGCTTAGGTGACCCATTTTTCTGCCAGACATGGGTGGAGACCTGATGGCTCTGTGACAGTGCGTGAGTAGATTTGCAGTGATTCTTCAGTCACTAAGAGAGACCTCCCCTCCATTTTACCTGTCTGAGAAGGCTTTTTTTTTGTGACCAGAATAATCTTTTTTTCAACCTGTTGTGTAGCCCCATTTGTGTGAGGTGGAGTCTACCTGAATTCTTGCTGAGACGATGCTTGATACCAGCCCTCCAAGATACAGGCTGGTATCAGGGGCTCTAGCTGATTCCCAGTACTGTCTGTTTGCAGGCTCACCTGCATGAGGCAGGTAACTGTTACTCTCCACCAGCTGCCTGCCAGAACCAGCACAGCCCTTCAGGGGGAATCAGACAAACATCTTAATCTTTTCAGCTAGTATCACCAGCACCACAGCTACTATCTGGAAAGCTCCTTCTAACTGCAGCTGAACAGTTGGCTGGGTGAAGATGCCGGAGTGCAGACTTTTACTCCCTTTTCAAATCAGATGAGCCCATTCTCCTGCAAGATTGTCACTGTTACCTCTCGGCAGTACCGTGAGTACACCTTACTTCAGATGAAAGACTGTCATCCCAAAAGAAGGAATGCACAGAACCTGTTTTTGTTGTCTTACCATTTTGTATTCCTCTGTGTTTCTCTCCTCATTAATTGCCATCAAATCCTTAATTTTTCTTATCAGACCCATCTTTCTGTTGTTTTCTTTTGGGCAGACTTATCTGCAGCTGCAAACACCTGCATTTGGGCAAAATAATGTGCAACTGTCGTATGTCATACCTGCCAAACCTGGTGAAGGAGGTTGTAGGTTCTCGTGGTATTGCTCTCTGTGCACTGAGCAGTGCCTGCAGCCCCCTGCCTTCATCTCCTGTGGCTACCAGGAGTGACTGGCACCATCACAGATGGCCCTGTGCTCTCTGGTCCCAATCAGGATCTTGCCTTCCCTTCCCCACAGTAGGATAACTGCCTGCTTTTAGCCTGTGCCCCTTGTGCCATGGTAGATTGTGCCTGAGGGCTACCTTGTCCATGCAGCGTGCCCTCAGGGTGACATGTGCTTTCCAGGCATATTAGGGAAATGTAGCAGAGGTTTGTATGTGATACTGTGTTTGCCCCATGGATTGGTCCTGGAAGCATGGAGCAGATGTCTGCAAAACAGACCTTGCCATGGCTATGTGTGGTGTGCATGTACAAGGGAAGTATATTACATCTGTGGTCATGGGAACACCTGAGCATTGCTAGTGGATGTACCTGCTTGATGTTTGGGCAATGTGAAAAGGTACTTGTGGGATTGCTATATCTGCTAATGTGTAAACATCACTTGCAGTGGAATTGATTTCATAATTTTAGACGTCTGTGATAGAGACATCCTCATCTGACGTGTTCACTGTGCCTTACCTTTATATAGTTAATGGAGAGAAACAAGGCCACTTTTAGGGCACTCTGCATCTAAGCTATTTTAGATTCATCCTTCAGAATTCTTTTGGCAAGAAAGATATCTCTTCTGCTAATTAAATGTAGTTTATTTTTGGTAGAGTTGTCTCTTGTGGAAAAGCTTTATTAAGCTCTCTGTTGCTCTGGCATTGTGAACTGCCAGTAGCACTGACTACTGTGCAGTGAAGGGCCTCCAGTACTGGTAAGTATAAGTTCAGTGATAGTACTGCAAAATGGATAAAAATGAGAGGAAAAAAAACAGTCACGAAGGATTTTTTAGGCCTCATATTCTCACCAGCTGAGCTTTAGATGGCCAAAAGGAACAAAGCTAAATTGACTGACTGGAATGTAGCGATGTAGCTGTTTGTAACAAAGTTCTGTAAGGCTGTTTAAGGCAGAGATAATGGAAAGCAGGTCCATCATGTGAGTTAAGCTTCACTGCAGTCAGTACTTAAAATCATAGCCAGCAAGTCACAGTTACTAGTTGAAGACAATGCTCCTTAAGTATTTGCTTAAAAATAAGTTCTACTTTATGTCTCTTATTGAATCAGGGCTTTAGTTAACCTTTCTTTGCTATAATAGCTTTACTTGCATGTGTGAGAAAAGTCCAGATTGCCAGGATGGGAAGAGCCCAATAACCATCTTAGAAAAGTCTGTATTCTCTCCATCTATAAATTTGTGATGGCTGGAATAATTCAAAATGTTACTCTTACTGGTCTCTGAGTATCAGCCACTGAGAACTGGAGGAAAAGTGGTTTTGAAAAAAAGTGGTTTGGTAATACATCCTTGGCTATAGTATTCACTCTCTTGCAGTTCCCCAGAGGCAGTTCTCTGGGCTGACTTTTAAGTGGTGCAGTTGGACTTTCCCTTAACTCTGTGAAGGTTATTTCTTTTTTCCTTTTTCACTGAGAAAGAGGGTCAAAAGGCCTAGAAATGGGGAGTTTAATGCTGTTATTTTCATTACTATTTGTTCCTTACAAACCTGGATTTGTTAACATTTCAAGCTTAAAGTCAAGATCATCTCCTGAAGTTCTTGACAAAGGCAGACATGTACACAGCTCATTTGACAGTAAATGCAATGGCTGTTAGTACTATGTAGCAGTCTTCTAGGGGAATGCATTTAGAGTTTAGGTTTTCTGGTGTTACAAGAATATTGTGCTCATTATTTATTACACTTATATTATTTTTATTGATAACTGTATTGCAGTACTAGCATGAAGCCCTGTTCTCACATGTGATCCTGGCATGTAAGAAATCATTAATGTAGGGCAAGAGGAGGAAGTCCCTCTCAGAAAACTTAGAGGGAGATATACCAAGAGACGATTAAGTTACAGTAGTCAACATGGTAGCCAAAGCCTCAGCATGCCAGCTTTCAGCAGCTATTTTTCTAGGTACATATGTTTAATTTGGCCAGGTAAGACCTACCCCTTTTCCTTACAGACTTCCCATATGCTTTGAAGATGTAACTCTTACTGTTACGTGTTTGCACTGTGTTGTCACTTGTACAGCCAAAATACTTGGCAAAGATCTGGGCTCTTCTGCCTGTATTCTCAGTTGTAAGCCAGACTTCTGAGAGCAAAGGTTGTGTGAAAAGGAATTTGTTAATGTCTTTCCAGCCTAAAGCACAAATGGAGCCCATGTAGGTTGATGAAAAATCTTGATAGGCAATCACAGTGTGCTTGTAACTGTCCTTAATGCCCTTTTGCAAACCTTTTGAGTTCTGTGCTCTTTTTTGAGATGGAGAACTAGGACTGCATACTATATTAAAGATGCTCTGTTGGTTAATATAATGTCATAATGATACATTATCTTTTGCTATGTATTTCTCTTCTAATTACTCCTAGCCTTTTATTTGCCCTTTTGACCTCTGTAGGGCACTGAACTGATTACATGGCTCTGTAGCTCAACATCTGTGTCTAGATATTTTACCTCAAGATTGTTTCTAAGGGGTAATAGTAATCTACAAGTACACTTGATATAAAAAAGTTAGATTTTTCTTCTTCTTTTTTTTTTTTTTTTTTTTTTTTATTTCACCTTTATCTCCTTTGAGTTTCTTTTTGCAATTTTATTGTTGCTACTCGGTATCATAGACTCCTTTTGCAGCTCTTTGCTATTGACCCTTACTTTTCACTACTCTTAATAGCTTAGTACTCTCAGCAAGTTTTATCACCTCATTTTATCACCTCTACAGTGAAAACTGACCCTTTACTCTTTACTGTATTTGAACATGTACCTAGGAATGATTAATATGTTATTGAACCCCAGTGATGATTAATTTATGCCCTGAAGCATGGGGCTTGATTACGACTTTTTTAATGTCTACAACTATAAATGTTGCTTATGAAATGGAAGACCTTATGATCCCATGAAGGGGCTACAAAGATAGTAAAGAAACTGATCTTACAATCGTGACTTGAATTTAGTGAGACTTTCCATTAACTTACTAAAATTTGAATGCCTTTGAAGAGATAATACAGCAAGCTAGAAAACTGCTTTTCTTGGACAATAATCAATCATTTGTATTTCAGGAGAAAATGAAGTTCCATCTGAAGATGCCCTAATACTACAGTTGCACCTTGCAAAAGGGCATGAAAAATTTACTGAAATGCTAAAAAGCCAACAGCAGATCATTGTCGATTTGCAGCAAAAACTTGCTGAACAGCAGCACATACTGGTTAGCCAGCAACGGGAGATTCTTGAACAGCAAAGGAAAATGTATGAGCAAATGGATCTGATCAAAGTCCAATATGGTATGCTTTTTGATACGGTGAAACAAATGTCATTTCAGAGTTTGCAAGAAGATATTCAAAATTATTTTGAAAGTCATCTTCAAGGACTTCAGAACCAGCTCAGAAATCATCTCCAGAAGTCATACTCTGTGCATAAAGTAGAAGTGGATGCAAAAGTGATTAATGTTGGGGAGTCATTGATGGACTGTGGCCTTTGTGAAAGTGATGAATTTTGCAATTTCCAAAAGACACCTTCACAATGTGAAAAATGCACATTGTGTCCTGCTGGTTTCTTCCAAATGGCCGAGTGTTCTGCAAACTCTGATAGGATTTGCCAGGTGAAATATAATTTAGTATCATTCAGTTACTGTTTATGAAGTATTCTGTGGACATGCTGGGTTAACATTCTGGAAATAACTGCTTGGAGAGCTAGAGACATCCAGTTTGAAATATGTGCTTTATTGAATGGCACTACCTGAAGTTTTTTGTGGGTTTTATCTTTACTGCTCTAAATGGGACGCTAGTTTGTGCCTGTTGAGTGTGACGCTTTCCCAAACGTGACAGCTGGCAGGACTTTGATTCCTTTCATGATGTAAGGAAAAGACATCCTAAAACATGTATACTTATGCATGCTAAATTTGTTTAATTCCAGTCCACTCTACAGGAACTGCTAGATGTCTCTGTAAAGCAGAGGAGAAAGCTTTACTAAGCAAAACTAGAGGTCAGGTATTTATTTATAAGTTTGGAAACAAAAGTTGTCAGTTAAAACAAATGTAAAAACTAGTTCCAGCTTAGACATAACATACAAACATATAATAATACAGAACATGAATGCTTTTATTGTTAAATACATTTTATTATAAAATACATTTTATTGTACAATACAAAACCAGCATGTAAGCAAAATAAGATGGTTCTTTGGTCACTTTTTCTCTCATTTAGAAGTCCTAAGATACATGGGGAATTTGATATTTAAAGCAGTGTCTTGTTTGCCAAGTGTCTCCAAATCTAAGCCTGACATGAGCCCAAATGGCTGGCAACCTAAGCCCAAGATACTGAGAAGAGAACCCGAAAGAGTCTGTCCGGTTCCCTCTCTGCTAGTCTCAGTTTTCTTTAATGCTAGCATTTAAATGAAAATGTAGCCTGTTACTCTTGCCCCTCTGCCTGCTGTGGGGTGAAAGGAAGGCTGATTGACAGGAAATACTACTTTATCATTTACCTTCCTTGTGTGTTTTTCAGTTAGCACCTTCCTCCCAGACTAAATGTCTTTAGGAGCGTTTTCTAACACTGTCTCAATTGTTACAATGTCTGTAAGATCAGTTGAGTGATGCATCGCTCTCAGGTTTGTGGTACTGTCTTACAGATCATGCATCATAACAAGTGTTGGTTGTACAACCAATCTATTTAGCTTGTCATCTGCACACTACTAGCTTTCTGTGGACATCATGCAGTCTTTCTGGATACCTTGTGGAAACAGGTGGCAAACCCAAAACAGGTTGTCTTGCTCCAACATACTTATGAGATCAGCCCCTTCTCCATCGCCACATACATCTTTTACTGGCAGATGGGTGTCATAGAACCTGAAGAAGTGCCAGCTTGAAGTTGTTGCATTAAAGTGTTTCAATATGATTCTTGTGATTTGCAGGACAGAGATGAATGCACTGAATCTCCAAGCATTTGTGGTGAGAGGATAAAATGCCTGAATACTCCGGGTAAGTTATATTCTCTGATAATTAAAGAATGAAGATATTAGATCTTCAGGAACAGGCCAAGGAGATAGATAAGGACTCAGGCCTGTATGTTTGTGAGTAATGACATGCTCAACTTGCTGGAATCAAAGGGGTTGAAAAGCACTCAGCTGTAAGCTGATAGCAGTTCTTCTGGACAGTGGGCTGTTTAGAGCATAATATCCACCAGGAGCACTGGATGGTCCCATTTACCTTATTTTTATGGGGTTTTACATGCTTTGGTTTTAATTTTCACTTTTGACCTGACTTTTTTCTTGTTTATGCTGGTGCAAATGGGGTCAAAAAGGTATTATTCCTAATGGAGAAAAATATTTGTCATTTTCCTTCTGCTGCACTGAGATGGATATTTGATTTGATCTAATAAAGGTTCTTATAAGGTCTTCCTCCATCAGTCTTATTCTCCTTTAGCAAAGTATTGTCAAATCCTGAGGAACAATCAGCAGTTTTCATCACTTGTGGAGGCTTGGAGCAATTTTTCAGACATTTAAGAACAAATTTGACCGCACTGCAGACTTCACCTTCATTGCTACTCATGGCAGTCAGACATAAAAGAGCAAATTCATAGACAGACTGAGCAAATTGTATCTAGGTACTAGGGTTTTTTCTATTTATCTAATTTTTGGTCAGCCAGTAAAACTCAAAAGGAACTCTGTGATCAAATTGAGCATTTCATCAGTTGTCACCTCCCAATGAAATAACTGAGGGAGGGCTTCATTAGGTTTTATGTTTTTCCTCCTCTAGACTTCTTACTTGTAAAAAGAGGGTGGCCCGTCTCTGAGGGGCAAGGGCTGTTTTCAGCTGATTATGAGTGATTTTTTACTATTCTTGCCCCGCCACTGGTGGAGAAAAAAGTGGGAGGGAATTAATCCTAGGAAAGTGTTAAAAGAGGACATGAGCTCACTTATATTGTCCTTATTTCCACTGGGCAGGAACTGTGGTGGGTTGGATGGTATTACTACAAACACTACAGGAAATGGGAAATGTCTAGAGAAAGAGAGCACTTGGTGTTGCCTTATGTGGCAAATGCTGTAGAGGAGGTACAATCAGTCTTACAAAAGAAGAGGCAAGACACTTTCAGACAGCCTTAGTGGTAGGCAGTTAGAGGTAAGACAGCTGACAGCACAAAATTTGAGATAGAGCATTGGAAAGGTGTAAGGCTTTATCTTTTCTTTAGTAAGAGACTGGGTTTGGTTGCGTTGGTGGTTTTGGGGAATGAAGCCCACAAGGCCCCAGCCCTAGGAAAGAAGAGCCACCAAGGTGGTAGTCATTTGGTGTTGCTCTAGTCTGTGCCTTGGAAGAGGGAAGGCTGTAAGGAATTTACCCAATGGGTTCTTTGGTTGGGGGGACCCAGACCAAGAATGGGTCTATACACTTGATGAAGGAAAGTAAGTGAGGGCAAAATACTGCCAAGAAACAGACAGATAGTGGTGGTGTGTCCGACCACAGAAAAGCAGTAGTGATGTATTTGAAAGGAAAGGACTCTTCCCTTGATTACTCCTCTCTCAGTTTTAATGGTGGCTTGTAAAGATGTGAAAGTAAACTATTTCTCCCCACCTGGATCAGGAATCAATGTCCTGTCAATGTCATCCCTGTCTGTCATGGAAGATGGAGTATTCTTTTTACATTTTATTAGAGAGGACTGCTACTTTCAGCCTGTCTGTTCATGATAGCTCATTATCTTATACAAGTGCAATTAACTTGTCAAAAGGGAGGCTGAAACTGAATGTCTGTTTTGGGTAATGTAGGGAGGATGGGGATGTGATCTGACATATGAGTTCCAGATGTTGTATGTGGTTTGTTGAGCTGCATGCAAAGGTTTTTGCATCTGTAGCAACTCCTGTTCACTGTACACTGTGAAAGGAGACAGAGAAAATGACAATAAAGAAACATGCAACTAGGAGCCTCTCTTTCTTCACCTTTCCACTTTCCTCTACATCATACCTTCTTCCCCTGCTGCTTTTTCTTGCTTTTATCTGGGATGAGAGTTGTTAGGTCATTTGATTAAAGACTAATCAGTCATCAAGGAGCAGTGACAGTTGGAGGTACCTAATCAGTGAAAGTGGAGTCTAGTGCATCATTTCCTTCTTAGACAGTCATGGGAGAGTGGTCCAACTGTTGTCTTTGGTGTGAATCCACCAAAGTCAACCAAAAGCACTCTCCCCAGAATGCTATGCAAGCTAAAGGGGACTTAGTGTAAACTTGCTGTGGGATGCAGAGGAAAGAGGAACAAGAACCGAGACAGATAGCCCTGATTTGTAATTAGCTGTGTTGATTTGTGATGATCCAAATTTGACATAGAGGGTTTAAAGAGTGATGGATTCCCATACTAAATCTGCTCGAATGTCACATTTGCATCAGGCAATCATGACTAGTAACAGCAGAAAAATATATGCATAGCTTACTCTAATTGCCTTGCATTTGCCTGGCCTCTATGAATGGTGAGGGCTAGCGAGTGTGCTGCAGGGATACTGGATTTCACAAAACCAGCTTGAGTACAGATGTGCTGCTCACTGTTAAACCAGGTGCAGCAGTGCCCAGAGCAGGAGCCAGGAAAAGATGGGAGAGGTTGTCAGGCAGTAAAGAGAAGTAGGAAGCAGTCACAGCATGCTGCTGTGCTGATTTTCTGATGTTTGGATATCATTTACTGCTTGATGTCTTCTGGGCAAAGGGTAGGTAGGATATTGCTCTTGCTACTGTCCACACTATAAAGCAGCCTGCATGTTGCTTTGAAGTCACCTAGCTGAAGTACATTCAGGGGGAACACCTGTGGCAGATGTAACCAATGAAAGACTAGACAGCAAATTGGTGAGAGTAGTCACCATACGTATTTGTAAAATTTTTTATTTACAAAAATCCTTAAATATACATTAAAATATTTTTAAGAAGCAAGTAGCATTAAAAGTGTTTCTAGGCACTACTGCAGATCTCTGATATGTCAACCAGCTGTATTTGCATACTCAATAGCAGTTCATCTAGTATTTCTCAGTCATGGGGGAGCCATTGATACAAGTAGAACTGGTTAAGAAGTGTCATGTGAGCAATTACACCATGGTTAAAACTGATTTCAAAAGGAAAGTTTTGGATTTTTTTTCTGAATTCCTTCTAGAATGTTCTTAGTTGAAAAAATGTGATTTTATTTGTTTGGTGCTTGTTTATTGTAAAAAAAAAAAAAAAAGCCTGACACTTTCAGGGGGAACAAAATGTTACGTTTATCTTGACTTTTTTCAAGTGGAAAAATCTTTCTGTTCTGCAGTGAGCGCTTTTGAGAAAATGATATCTGGTCTTAGAAAGAATGTTCTCTCATCATAAATTGTATAGTTCTACTTATCAGTGTTAGTGGAGAATCATCACTTAAGTGAATGAAACATAAATAGACAAAGAGATATGAGGGTGAATATATGAAGCCTGTATAACTTAACACAGCGTCTGGTGTTCTCTGCTGAATGATGTAGTATCAGAAGTGAATTTTAACCAATATTCTGACCTCCCTTGTGGGCCAGGTGTGTGTGTACTGCTTTGTCTTGAAGTTTGCAGTATGTAGGGCGTGCTTTTCTGCCTGCATCAGCAGTCTGCATAACCAGTTCCACCCTGGGGTTAACAGTGGAGAAAAATGGCTTGTTGGAGTCCATATCAGATGCTTGTAGTCTCAGGCTCATAGCAAATCTCAGCCCAGATACAGCAGCTGTCCAGCTAAGGAATAAAGCAATTGTATGACACCGTATTTAGACAGTAAAGGGTATTTAAGAAAAGCTGTAAGAAAGATGTTTATTGAGTTTTGATTATGGTGGTAAAAAGCAGAAGCAAGTGCATTAGTGATTAAGCTTTGAGGCACAGACTGTAAGTGTTTATTCTTTAGGGTGCCTCAAATCTTTTGTGTTGATTTAGATCCTGAAGGCTCCATGCACAAAGGTTTTGGGCACCGGTCGCTCCAGCTGGAAGCATTGGCAGCTGGCGGTGCTCTTGGAAAATTGCCACAGAAAATTACAGGCTATTTTTAAAACCTGCTCTCTGGGTGTGCATTCTTTGATCCACTGAGGTCATGGTGTACCATTTAACAGCACAAAATTGCTTTATGTCAAATAAAGTAATTTCAAATGGCACCTCCAGATATTCTTACTGTTTACAGCAGTGTTTTATTTTAACTTTAGACTATCACAACTACTGCTGCCCTGTGGCTGAGAACAGTGGATTTCCACCTTCTAAATGTGTGGACTACTGCATAATGATTTTAAGCCTGCTGTTTACGATTTTGTTTTTTCTACTTGTCTCTTGCAGGTTCTTTAAAAGCTGTACACAGAATGCCTAGGGTCCATGTGACTTGGGTTGAAAAGTACTGCTTTAGCAATCACAGCTACAGCAGTGATACCCCATAACATGGCTGGGCAGACAGCTACAGCAGTGATACCCCATAACATGGCTGGGCAGACAGTGCACATTCCTCCTTGTATAGGGGAACTCTTTGTTAGTTGGAAGTATCTTTGCTGCTCAATGCACCAGTTAGTCACCATTCCTTTTACCTCAGGGAAGGGAGAGAATGTCTTTGGAGCAGTATCATTATATCTGATCCATTACAAGTTTTGGTTAGAATTGCCCCTGTGTAGCTCCTTTCCCACTCTAAACCACTGGACTTGGCTTGGACAAGGTGAGTTATGCCTAATATTTCCTCTGTTTGCTGTCAGGGTTCCTTTAATTTCACTAAGTGATCTAACGTCATAATTATTTTTTGTTTTCTCCCTTATGATTAGATATGTTATCAAATATATTTGATACATGGAGCTGTAGAGTTCTTATTTTTAGTATTGTAAAGGTATGATGATAAAAGTTGTCTGTTTCCTGTGAACAGGTGGTTTCCGATGCCTTGGAATTGCTGAGAAAGATGCAGCTTTGGGAGTGTGTGGAGAGGAGTATTTCTTTAATAAGGAAATGCAGGAATGCCAAGCGTGTTTAAAATGTGAAGATGGAATGGTGGCCATGCCTTGTTCCACTGTCAGTGATACAGTTTGTTCGGTAACTAGTGAAAACAAGCTCTCAGAGTCTTGGGCTGCAAACATCATTCTACCCTCTGTAAAGTCTGGCATCTCTCAGGTCTACTCTGGCTTGAACTTGAAGATAAAAGGAAAGCTTCCCTGTGAAATCCTATCTGTTGAAGATAACAGCCTGGTGTTCAGGCAACATGGTTTGTTGTGGACTGACCTAAATTTTGCAGTAAAGCACAACTGCAGGAATTTTTTGCAACTTTCCTTAAAGCTTAATGGCAGTGAGGAAGGCTATGAACTGAGCGGTGTTCGCATTGAACAGCCAGAAGGAAAGTATTTCCAGAGCACTAGTTTAAGCAGTGCTGCTGAAGTGGAGCCCAGCCAAACTCTCTCTGTGTATTTGAGGAGCCCAAATCAATTCTGCAATCAAAGTAAAGACTTAAATATTTATGATCTTAATACCCCACTCAGTTTGTTTTGGTTGTCCCATGACACAGGTGCTGTGGCACTCAGTGCACAGATGTCAACAGCAATGCATTACCAAACCAACTATCGACCTACCTTTAAAATAATTTCTGTTTCCGACCCTTACATGCTAAGTTTATCTCATGATGGCAGAGCGATAAAGTTCACTGAAACTGGTGTTGTCAAATTTGTGTTCCACCAAGCATTGTATTCTATGGGTCATACCTGTGTCCGGGAGGGCTTCTCCTTAATTTCCTATATCAATAGGAATGGTACCAACAGAGAATTAATGAATGTATTTAAATCTGGGGTAAATTACAGAGATACATCGATATCTGCTTCCTGGGCCACAAAAGTTGGTGCTGGAGATCTGATTAGCTTTGAGATACTCTCTCCTGCACAGTGTAATGTTCGGTATTTTGGAGATAGTTCTGGAATTAGTATGTTTAGTCTCATCTGGATCCCTTCAGCAGTTTCTAGTGCCTTATCAGCCACAGTTTCTGTTACAGGTCTGCCCACTGGAGCCGTGAGAAACAAATTATTGGATTTCACGCAGGTCTCATCCAATGAGAAACAGATACAGCTGATTTCTTCTGGACAGCTTGCTCAAAAGTATTTCATTTTTACTGAAAAGGGAGTTGCCAGCCTTGCATTTAACTTAAAGCTAATCCACTCATGCAATGTGCTCAAAATGACTCTCAATCAGTTGACCATGGATCACATGCAACCCACAGCAATTGCTCAGCAGATTGGAGGTCAGATGCCAGAGGGAAGCACATGGACCAGTGTGTCCCTCCGTGCATCTTTTGAAGTACATAATGGAACATTGATAGCAGTCTCTCTTGACTGTGTGCGTGGAAGGATCAATCAGATCACTCATGAACAGGGAACCAGTATATCTATTTTATGGATTTCATCTTAATTTCTGTACAGTGAAGTTAGCACAGAATTGGGATTTAAATCGCATTTGGGTTCTACTCTGATTCTGTACATATTTGACACCTTACACTGTGTTGACATGAGCAGATTGTCCCACCAAAATGCTTTCAATATTAGGAATATTTAAATACAATCTTAACTGAATGATCAGTATTTAAAGAAAACAGAGCTTTTAGTGTTCCAAGATTTTACTTCTGTTAACATCTTCAGGCAGGGAAACCTTGAATTCAGATCAAACTCTTACTTTTTCATAAAGCAGTCTCTTAAAATTAGTTATTTCTGGACCACAAAAAAATTGCAGATGAGGTTAAATACATACCTTTTAGCACTGCAACCGAAAGCAGCACAGCCAAATAATGGAAACCTGCTTGCAGTTTCTTTACTGCAACAGGCTAATATCAAGACTAAATGCACTTTGAGGCTAATTTTGTTGCATCTTATAAAATGTTGTGCTTTCTATAAATGGAGGGAACATGCCTCAAACCTGAGGTGATAATATGATAACACTGGAGTATACATGCTTAATATTATAGAAATGGACATGGGTCAAAAATAGAACATTTCTAAAACATTGAAACTAATGGCTGTCCTCATTTCATTTGGAAATAATCTGCATTTAAGTAATTTGGGAAGGCTTTTTGCCATTTTTAGTTTTGCCAGTGAAAAGTTGCAGGATGAGAAGGAAGAAAGTCTATTCTAAAAAGTAAGAGTATGTAGGAGATAAAGAGTATTAAAAGAATGTCTTGAAAATGAGACTTTTGAAAATTTTTTTTTAAAATGTATTTCCTTTCTTATAAATGACAAAATATTTTTCTAACCAAAGAGGAACACCATTCACAAGCATATTTATTTTGCTGAACAGGTACTTAATATAAAAAGTTTGGGTTTTTTTTTGTAAAATCACTCAGTAAATTCAAAGAAATGGTACATTCAGTGGCACTGGTTTTTATCTTCCTCCAGCCATCTATCCAACTGTCCATCAAACTATTTTTTTTCTAATCTATGTAGAGTGTTTTCTCTCATTTTCTCCTTTCTCCACAAACACTGCTTCACCCTCTCATTTCTTTCGTTAGGAGTAAATGGCATGCCCTCTCATATAGCTCAACTCTGTCCATTCTCCTTTCACCCTCCCTGCTAAAGAATAGATATGTCTATGGTTATGTATACATACATAATTATAGAAGAGGGACATTAATAATGCACTTGCAGGCTGCCTTACATCAACCTTACTGAAGGAAGGAATATTATGCATGAATAACTTTAGTGTCGCTATCTGCCTTCATATGTATATCCAAAATAGATGGAGTTTCCTGTGCTTCTCACCTGTTCTGGAGTTTGTCACACTGTTTTTGCTGTACAGTCTCTTCCTATAATTTTCTGTAAAAGAATGAACCCAAGTGCAAGACCTCTATCTGGTGGTTCTGTTCTTATGTGTAACTTTTTAACTGTGTCCTTAACACCTGAGGTTTTCTTCCATTCTTTTTTTTTTTTTTTTTTTTTTCTTTTTTTTTTTTTTTTTTTTTAAGTGTATACCCAAAGATGCAGGCTTTGGACAAATTACTCTCCTGCTCCAAATAGAGAACAGTAGCTTTTCTTGCTTTTAGCTCTAAAATCTAAGCAGTCCATCACAAGATACCTTACTGGGCATTGTGTTGAAGCCTGGATAAGTATGCAAACCACTGTAAATTCAATCCTGGTGTTCCCAAAGTCTGTGACAGAGGTCTCAGTGCCTGTGTGTAGCCAGGCTCTCATTCGTTCGTACAAGGTCATAAGGAAGGATGAATTACAGCTAAGGTCAAATACTCAACATTTGCAAAATACTGTTATTGTTACAGAGGATATTTTGTAGTGGTAGAGAAAGACTTCTGGTATGAGACCATGTGTATCTGTTATGTACAGCAGAGCTGCATTACTTAGGAGCAGAGCAGTTTTTCTGGGTACTTCAGTCTGGAAGTCTACTGAGTCTGAACAAAGATGAAATGCCACAGGAGTTAAAATTTTCTGATACGTCTGTCTGCTTTCTTCAGAAGGATGCACGTGATGTAAGAGGAGCTCTTCAGAGAGCAGAACAGGGTATTTCTAAGGTAAGACTTCAGGGGAAGACAATGTTAGAGAAGGTTTGAAGTGATACACTTATGGATTTGTTTTAGAGGAAGTTAAGTCATTTTCTCACAGACATAACTGCTTATTTTCTTTTGGTGTTTTGTGTTATGCAGATGTGTTAAAGGCGGCTGCTCCCCAGTATAATGCCAATTTAAGAGTCCTTCTAGGTTTAAACCTGTGTAGCAAACGTCAGAATCTGATGTTAGACATAATCTGGTACATCTTTAGCAAAGATGTACCATCTTTGGTACATATTACTTGAATGTAATAAGCATTTGCCTATATAGCAAATCCTATGCATGATATGTATGAGTATGCTTTGTTTGAGTGAGATTGTGGTATCAATAGCTTGAATATGGAAGGGATTGTTGCTGAAATCCTATATTCTGCACACAGTGGTGGTACTTGCATTTAAACGCACCATTATTAAAGGATGCAGAAACTACCAGGGAAGTACAAGTGAACATTATTACAGCTAAGACAGGTTTTGAAGTTTAAATTCTTCAATGTAGTAAATTTTATCAGAGGATTCTGGGGGAGTGGCCCTAATTGCCCTTAAATTCAGAGTAGATTTTTAGCTGCATAGTGAAAAATGCATCTGGTGGTGATAATGCATCTGTTTTGCTAATGTAATCTGTGATAAGGTACTCACATGATGAAAAAAAAAATCTTATTAAATATGTAGTATTAATTGCAATTTACAGCAAGCTTAGCTTTATTTCAAGCAAGAAAAGGCTGATAATTTGAGCCTCTTTTGCACCTCTCCCTTTTGGGGAAAAAAAAAAAGCGCCTGAATCCATAATTCAGGTCACTCACTGACTGGTTATAGTAACATGAATTTGGAATGAGTGTGTTGGAATCAGTGTGGATTTCTGATAGTCTAATTAATGGCATAGTATATAGCCTCATACCATGCAATGTTAAGTGGTGCACTATGATCCTAAATAAGAGAAAGTTCGAGAGGAATCAGACAATGTACAATGAACGCTAATTTTATGGCACTTATCCCATTTGCTGTGATAAATTGCATGTTTTATTGACAGGTATATCTTATGAATTATATTTACAACTTTTGAACTTTTTAATTCTCTTTTCATATATTTTCTTTCTATTAGTAGCACAATATAATACCATGAAGTATGAAATTAATTTAAAAATTTTGCATCTTTTGATACCACATTCATGAATATGGTTAGAATAACAGTAGACAGTCTCTCCAATCCTTTCTGCCAGAGAGCATTTCCAGTGGAGGTATTCATAAAGTAATAGAACAAGTACAAGGCTGGCAGAATCTCTAGCTGTACAGAAAGAGTTTAAGTTAATACATCCAGGAAGGCAGGTGGTTTTGTCACTTATGCAGGTAATGGGCAACAGGTTGTTATAGAAAACTTGATCATTACAGGCGAAAAATAATGTAGGTTGTATAGTGCTGCTCATACAAGAGGAAAAAGGATTTGTCTTTAAAAAACATGCATTGTTTTGTACTGTGAAACATTTTGCAAGTTCTAAGATTTTACCTGAGTATATTTTATTACCAATACGGATTTTTATGCTTTCTGTGAAGTCAAAACTGGGCAGAATATGTTGTCAATATTGTGGATGCTTCCTCTGTTCTTGTGGTCTCTGCAGATTGAAGTACACTATGAAAACTACACTAGTTTCAAGTGGTGCTTTTTTATTAAATTTCCTACTTTGAAATATTACGTTGTTTTAAAAATACTGTTTAGACACTTGCCTCTGTTAATATTATATTGTAATATGTTTTAAGAGAACTTTACTGAAATAAATAAACCAGTAAGACTTCATTGGTGGTTTTGTTCTGTTCTGAGGAAGGCTAATTGCGGCTATTGAGATTGTTACCAGTGACACTTTTGCGGCCAGGATTTCACAGGTTTTATCTGAATTAGCTACCTCTGTTTGCTGAAGTGCCACTAAATAAGAACAGTAGTAATACACATTTCTAGAGATCATCTAATCTCCCTGTATTCTGTTCCCACTGTTGTAACTGGAGATTTGGGAAGATGAAAATCATATTTGATGCTACTATACTGAGCAGTACAGTTTACCTTGGTCATTGCTACCACCCTAGCAATACAGAGAAGAAAAATGAGAATGCATTTTTTTAAAATAAATTTGTCCTGCCTTTGTGCTTCATACAGTCTGTCTTATGTGGAAGTTTTGACTGTTGTGGAGGGTCCTGATCAGAGCTTTGCAGTAACACAGATATGCTTTTGTCAGGATCTGTGCAAGTTAAAGCTCCTGTGTTCTCAGTAGAGACACTTTACAGTTATTTGAAATTATACAACTGTTTCTTCTTTTTGGAGATATTATTGTTTATTAGATCTGAACGAAAGAGAGGTGCTGTCAGATGACCTCCATTTAGAAGTAATTTTGAAACAGATTCCTAAAAAAACACCCGGTTTGAGACTTAATTTTTATTTATTTCAGCCTTTTGCATTAAAAGTAAAAATAAAAATTTTGTTATGTGTTTTTCGCCAGTTGCATTTGTGCAGATTGGAAGGGCTCCAAGAAATAATTCCTTCAAGAAGGGAATTACAGACATCATTAACATAGCTTAAATTATCCAGGGATGAAATTTAGAAGGAAGGAGAAAAGAAGTATTTGTGAAATACTGGTGAAAACAGAACCATTCTTCTCCAGGCTAGATCTTCTGACCTTCAGCAGCTGATATGCCCTTTCCATAACAGCCCAAACCATCTTTGGCAGCCAGATCCAATGGCTCTCTCAGATTTGCCCTGTGTTTCTCTTCAGCAGTCTGACGTTCACTTGTGCAACATCCATGCACACATGTCTAGAAACTGTGCAACCAAGCCTGGTGCCTCGTCCTCTGCTTGAAGGGTTTGCTTTATAATAAGGCACAGAAGATACTGATTGTGGTAGTGGCATTGCCTGTGCTGCTGTGGTAGTGCTGCCTGACAGATATAGGTAGTGAGTGGGCCTCAAATAGCTGCCTTGCTAATATGCTGGACTTTAGCACCTCTGTAACTATACATGTATACATGTCTTTCACTGTCTGGCTGTAGATGTACCAAAGCCAAATAACCACAAAAGGGGGATCCAAGAAACTCTCGTTTGCATTAAATAACAGAATTGTTATTGCTGAGATGGATTTTCTTGGCCAGCTGCAGTTTGTGTAGCTTTCTGAAGTCCTTCCTTGGAGCTCTGCAGGCATGTTGTGACCTGCAGGATTGTATCTGTTGTTTGTAGGCTCTTCAGAAGAGAAACTAACCACTCTGCAGTCTAGTACAATCTTGTTAAATGACATCTCTTGAAAGTAGCCTCAAGAGACTGGATGTAATTTCCTCACTAGAAGGGTGTTAATGCCTGGCTTTAGCAGAAGCTTGAAGTAAAAGCCTGTCATGTTAGGGAAAAAAAAAAAAAAAATCTATATCCTTGGGTTAAAGAGCATTTTTTTCTAAAAGAAGAACTGTGGAAAAAGGGTTTTCAAAAGTTTCTACATCTTATGAAAACAATTTTTATAGTTTTCCCCTTTACCCTTTTTTCCACTTGAAAGGTAGAGGAAAGAGGAGAATAAGAAAGTGAAGGTAGGGGGAATGGAGATAGAAGGGAAGAAAAGCAGAAGGAAAAAGCAATCTCTGGTGTTTAGGTAATTTAATATATGAGAATTTAAACTAGTTTTCTTCAAAACTTTCTCAGATAAATGCTTGTTTTTTCAACCAGTTGTAAATGAAAATTTGTTCAACTGAAAATGTCTATCACATTTGGCTTAATTTCTGTCTCCATCAAAGCACTTCCCACCCACCAACTTCTGTAAACTTCAGTAATATTAGAGTAGCCTGAATATGCTTAAGTATTTTAAGCTGTAGCTGGAACATTAAGTTGGGTAATTGGGTTAAGTGCCAACTTATCTTTGGAAATCTCTAGATATACTTGTGGGTTTTGGCATGCAAACCTCAGTTTTCATCATTACCTCTTAACTGTGTTTATATTGGTAACTGCTTCTCATTAGATAAATGAGCCTTCTCTGAGCTCCACTGCTACCATCACTTGAATGCTAATGGTACCTAATGTTGCTCATTTAAGTCTCCTTTGGGTATTTCTCTATTATACAGCAGTCAATAATGTAGACATGTACTAAGTGTCTTCAGGACCTCTGTACATGTGGGATGTTGACAGAGTGTTCTTGCCACAGTCAGTTTTTCCTGACTTGCTTCAGTATTTTAAACATAAGTTGAAATTGGCTCAGGAATCTATATGATAGATATAGGCTTTCAAAGCAAATGTGATCTGGTGAGTGATGTAGACTGGTAATCACATCTGAGTTGCATGATTGCAGCCTTCCCTTGCGGAGTATAAAAAACTTCTGAGAATATTCATAGATTAAATGCAGGTGTCTTGAGT